TTTTTTTGAGCAGGGTATGAAGTGTAATAAAGATGGTTTTAACTGTGACTTTTTTGTTAATCATCATCACCATCATCATTAGATGATTATAGTTTGTGGATTTGAGATGGAATAATTTTATTTTTTTTATTAGTAAAAGTTATGGAATCATTTAAAAGTCATAATTATTGTTGAGTGATTATGTTCAAGTGGTAATGGAGTTTTTAATCATGAGTATAATGATGACCCCCACAAGACTAGACCATAAAAGTGGAACTCAAAATATATTACAACCTTCTTTGTTTAGATGTTTACATTATTAATATAATAGTACTACTATTTGATTTGTTCACCTTAGCTTTTATTTATTTTTTATTTGTTTTTTTGGGAACAAAAACGGGCCAGAGGCCTAGGAACTTGATGATGTTAGAACTCCCGATAGCATTATGGTCAAGCCAGATGCCCAAGCATGTGGGAGGTGAAGCCATACGATGCAATCCTAGCAGAGAGGATGATGCCAAGCTCGACATAAAGTCGACCGCGAAATTTGCTTCCCTTTGCATGTGTTGGATCCTCACGCTCCAATCCTTAATTTTGAACCAAACTGCGAATGGCCTGGACGAATGCATTATTAGCTCCAAACCTATCTTCGGTTCTAAGTATTATTCTCATCACACATTGGCTATCAACCTCAACGATAACTTGGCGAAAACCCAAGTCCCAAGCCAATTGTAGCCTTGAAACATTCCCCACAGCTTGGCGCCCCTGATGGTGGTATACCCAATATTCATGATGGAACCAGCTCGATCCATCTACCCAACTCGTCACGAAGCAAACCTCCATCACTCTCAAGCCCGTGTTGTTATAAACAACTTCGTCTGATCCACCCCGATTCAGGCGGGGTCCAACGAATCAACCGCGTAATATGCACTTCAACCACAACTTTTCGGAAAGCTACAACCGCTCGGGCGTAAGAATCCACCCTTCGTAGGATATCTCTAGTCCACGAGTTTCACAGCTTGATATAAAAAAATTAAAAACTCGGTCATTCTCCACCTCCAAATACACCAAGCAGCAAGGAAAAATATTACGTCCCAACTGGTACGAGATCCCCGCCTGACCTTCGACATGTTTGTCCATAGCCAAGATCGAAGTGGCTGTTAAAAAAACTCCCCCCACATTATCAACCAGGAGCAACCGGGTCCACAAATCCTTAGCAAACGGGCAATCCCTCAAAATATGCAGAATCGAATCACTCCCTCCACAACAATCCGAGTTGGATATATGCCGCCGGACACATGCCACTAATGCTACATTATTGATGGGTTTACTTATTTAGAAAATTCAATATTATTTTTTTAATAGTAATAAATTCAATAATCCAAACTTTAATCAACATATAATTTGGTAAAATCGATTGATAAATTAATCTGACAAAGTAAATTAACTACTTACTTATGGGTTGAGTTCCTAAATTCCATTGGAGTTTCCTCAGTTCATCTTCTTGTCAACAATGGTTGTTGGGTTAGCTAATCGTTATACAATTCTATTTTCTTTACAAAAAAAAAAAAGTCATACTTATATTATGAAAAATCATATTGTATAGTTTATTTATTTTATATTTTGAAGCATGAGATTTTAATACATAAGTATATACATGTGATGAAATAATATAATTATCTAATCATTAGAAAAAACAACCTAAGAGAAAGAACTAAATTTAAGCTATAAATTAATAGAGTAAATTGGTAAACAACTTTTATTACAAAAATATTTTAGCAATGTATATCATGATCAAAAGGCATTATATTAATGGTTATGACTTATGATTGACTGGATAAAGCGGGGAGAGAAAGCTATTGCAACTTTATGTGATGTAAATACAAAGGTTAAGTATAGTTTAAAGGATTAATGATGTCTTAATTAATTAAACAAAAGTGTTCACTCTAATCAATTATAAGGAAATGCTACGGTCCCGTTAAGGTACCGTCCCATCGGGTGTTTTAACCGTTGGATCCACGCTGCAATTAGATAAAATAGATGATCCAACGGTTAAAACACCCGACGGGATGATATAGTAACGATACCGTAGCATTTTCCCCAATTATATATAGCAAAACATTCTCTTGATAATGGTGCATTGTAAGTCAGTGGTCTCCTTGATTCAATCCAAGGCGTGGCCCTTGAAATTCACACTCCA